TCGGTGCTTCACGTCAGCTATATGTTCTGATTATTTAAGAAATCATTATGAAGAGAAGCTGCTAAAATTCAATACCGAGAGCAGTTCATCAAATCCTGACATAGCTTCGTGGTCTCGTAAGTTCTCTGAGTTTAAATCATTTGTTTGCTAAACTCTTCCTACAACACAAATATAACGACACAAATATTAAAACACAAATAAATTTACAGTGACACGGAATCAAGTTCTATTGTTTCATGACGTTATCGAATAGCAAAATGAAAACTTTCATGAAGTTATTTTAAATATAATATCTAAACTATAAAAGCTGACAGATATAGAAAAGGATTGTGTTAAAGTTTACCATCGGCTTGGATCATTTCAAAGTAAGACTCAACCAGTTTTAGTTCGGTTTTTGGATACTAAACGTAGGCGGTATATTTGGGAAATAAAAGCCATCATCACCTCAGAGACTTTAACGAAAATCAGGCATCAAATATTTACAACAACACGTAAGCACTTTGGAATTAAGCACTGCTTATTTTCTAAACGAATTTTTTTTATAATTCTCCCCGATGAAACCCGACAAAAAATTTAAACATTGGCTGAATTCGAACTACTCATCGTGAAATATCCTTCTATCTTGCTAGTAACGATAACGCATCACAGTCCGTTATTAGAACACCGATAACTGTTGACGCCCCGAAGAAATCACGCCGACGCATAAATAATTAAATATATAGTATTGTTTTCTTTGAAATATTGAATTGTACATACAAGGTTGCCTTTAAACTCATTATTATTTCATAAAAGTGAAAAGAACTAACTTAGACGGAACGCATATACGTCACAAACAATGCACGTTTACTTTTAATGTTAATGAGCATTGTTATCAAGAAACATACTATTTTCTGGCGAGAGATTTTAATAATGCAATGAACACAAAGAAAACTAACTTATTAAGATTTTACTGACTAATTCCTTTTTAAAAGTTTGTTTGTAATATTTACTTAAACGCTATTGTTTAAAATAACGTTCCGTTTTTACTTTTTTAACTTTGTACTGCAATTAGTATTTTTGTTTTTCTTCTTCTAGTTTTAATATAATATGTATACATAGACTTAGTTGAGCTGAGTTGTTTTTATTTTTATTTATTTTTTAATTCTAGGTTATATATATTTTCTCTTAGAAATTTATTTAGTTTTATTTTAATATATTGCCTTTTATTATTAAGTTATTTTTAATATAATTTTATAGTTTTTATTTTTTTTTTTTAGTTTTATTCTTATAATTATGGAAAGTTCATCTGATTTTGATGCTAGTTTTTTCTCGTGTATTTCATCTTCTACCAGTATCTTAAGTGCGAATATCGAGTCATCTGAACATCATGGACAGCATGATCATATTTCTGCTATTTTTTCTCCCTACCCCAATAATTTTAACGTTGCGCATATGAATGCACATAGTGTTCCTGCCCACTATCCTGACCTTATTGCATCCATTAGCAGTAATTTAATCGACGCACTATATCTGAATCTTTTTTCAAGCCTTCTCTCACTTCTTTTCGGTTTTCACTTCCTGGTTACGTTTTGATGTGCAATGATAAGACTATTAAAAAAGGAGGAAATGTGCATATCTCTGCTTCCACGTTAATTTATTCTGAATCTTCTGAGTACTTTTTTCTTGAAGTTATACTTCATCATACAAAATTCCTTCTTGGTGTGATATACAACACTAATATGCAAATTAATTATTTTGATGTATTTTGAAAACTACTTACAGCCTTCTGTCCAATATATAGTTATGTTATCGTGATAGGAGATTTCAACACATGCTCACACAAGCAGGATTCACGATGCACGATTAACCGATCTTTGCCACCCATCATTTTCCCCATCGCACTCCGTCTTTACTTGACCTTATCGTACAAACATATCTTATCACATTTCATCTTTAAATAACATTGCAAATCATGGACGAATAATACCTCTTTTTTCGTACCATGACCTCATTTTCATATCGTACCGTGTTCGTTCACCTAAGCAAAAATCACATTTTCAATTTTTTTCGTAGCTATAAGGGTATTGATTTGGAATTATGGATAAGATGAGATGCAAGTAAATTCATTAATTCTCCTGTTTCGGTCTCCCTCTGTCGCCTATCATGCTGTCCATGGGAAGCTATTTTATATATATATATATATATATATATATATATATATATATATATATATATATATATATATATATATATATATATATAAAAGATACGTTACACATCACAACTACTCGATAATACGGGTTCACATAAAATGTGTTAATTCCTCGTTATATTATTGTTACCTCTAGTCTACTACCTACTACTAGGTCTATACTAGTAGTTTGAAGTGTCTGTGCCTGCGATTTATTGATGGCCATCGCGTAATAAAGACTTAACGGAAATTGAGTTGGAACGGAAAATTATTGGGTATCATGAGTAATAGTACTCTCCCACTTCCGCAACCTGACAGAATATCCGCTTCGATTATATTCCTCTGAAAATTAATGACTTTCGCTCGAGTACTATTGCATAACTTTGCCAGAGTCAGGAACTGCCGTAAGTAAAATTTATGCGCTGGAAGACCAGAAGCACTTAAGGAATTCAAAAAAAATTACTGGACGTTAAATGAAACTAATTTTACGGATTTTATAGCGATCTTCCTTTAGTTTCCTTTTCTTCCTTCAGTACCTTCGGTTTTTGAATATAAGATCGGAACAAAAATTAATATCCCAAGACGTCGGGAGTTAAAAAATTAGAACTAAACGCAATAATTAGAATACTTCATTTAATTTAACGTAGCATCTCTCGATGCACATCCCCTGCAATTTTCGATAGTTTTTGTATTTAGTAAAATGACTTAGTCCTTCCTGCTTGTTAAGTAAGCCCACTTACATATCCAAGAGTTTTCTTTTTGTGTTAAATGCATGAATGTGACCTCTATAAACACGTAATATATTGATTTAAATTATTAATTTAATATAAATTTATTTAAATCTGAACTAGAAAACATACTTACAAATGATGAATGTTAAACAAATGTTACTTTATATTCAAAGACCATTTGTAAATAGTGTAGAAACTCTTAAATTTATAATTAATACTCGTACGGTCAAACCAACACCACAGTATCAAATCGCAGTATTGTTTGTAATTACCTGTCTTGCAAGACACTTAATTACAAACCCACTGCGATTATTAATAATAGACTTGAATTTAAAACAAAACTGTATTAAAAATGTAAAACATTAGTCAATAAATGGCCACTAGGGATGTTATGATCTCTCATGAAAAAGTCGCTAAAAACCTTGCAAGAAAGAGTAAGCGGTAAACTTATTTTACCAACGTTTACAGGCATCTATCTCTCCGTCTCCGATTTCTAGTAATTAGAAAAAATTTTGCAATATGTGAAACTTTAACATCAATCTCCTTGAAACTTTTTTCATTAGTATTAAGCTTAGCTCATTGTTTAAATCGTATAAACTTGTCAACTTATTCTTAGAACTAACACATATAGTTGGGATAAGAACGACCTGTATAGATAGAAACACAAAATACGAAAAATTGAGAAATTTGTTTATTTCAATAAATGAACATCACTTGGAGAGGTTCAGAAGTAAAAAGACTTTCATCACTTTCATACAAAATTAGTGTTGAGAATTAGGTATGGTGCATTATTCAAAACTATAAATTGTTACTTTTAAAACATGCTATTGAAACAGTCACATATTATTTAATGAATTGGTGACAGTATGAATTCACAAAAGTGGGCAAAGGTTATACGTGCAGTAAGAGCATATAAAAATAGTGTTACATTCAGAGAGTATGAAAAAAAAATTCAAAAATACTTAAAACAGTAGGGCACAGAGCTAATGTTTCAAATTTCAGTAACAAGATCAAAATTGCATCCAATAAAATTAAGATCACGTGTAAATAAGATACTATAATTCAGATTTGCAACTATATATTAACAATAATTTATCTCAATCTAATCAAGAAGTTCCTATGGACTTAGAGAAATACTTTACTAATGTTCCTTTTTTGACTATAAAATCTTTAGTTTATTTTCCTATTGTCACTGAATTATTGCTTAAACAGAAAGTAAGGACTGGGTTAAATACTTTTAAACTCCACAGAGTATTGCAGTAAGACATTGTAAATATTTTAGAACTATTACTGGTAAGAAAATGGCAGACTTTATTGCATATATAATAGATAAAATGGCACCCTATCTAGCCACACTTTTTAATACAAGCGTCAAATCTGGTGGGTTTAATTGAACAATGGCTTAATGGCATAAAACATTGTAAATTTATACCCTTATTTAAATCCGGTAAAACATAATGCAAAGTACAATTTAAAAAAAAATTGATCAGATAGTAAAATTTTTCATAATAAAACTTGATTTAGTTTTACAAGGGGTCACTCGACAACTGTTAGGCTAAGTATACAAATTTTGTGAAAATTACAAAATATATCGGCGCAGCAACAATAGTTCGTCGATTTCAATATACTTAGTAATTCTCTTCAATAATTTAAATGGGTTAAAATAATTCATAAACCATTAATTAATTTTTTTCCGGAATCTTTCCGGATGGTTGCCCATATTTGCTTCGGGCGCAAAAAAAAAGCATGCCAAGTCAGTCTCGCTCGAGTGGTCAAACAGTACAGATGCACGCACACAAGCACACACATACGCGCACACACTCATACATACATGCATACATATGGACACCATCGCAAAAATTGCCAGAATACCTTCTTAGACCTCGAGATCTTTGACAATAACGGTGATAATAATCGCGGATAGTCGTACCGTAAACACGCGTATTTAGTGTGCTCAATTTTAAATTAATTAAAATCATTATTACATGTTTATTGTCAATACATATATGTTATAAGAATCAAGTAGACTCACCTATACTCACTGCTCACTACTTCTCCTTAATTAAAAGATATCTGGAAGACTTATTTTTATGTCAACAATGGATGTTAAACTGGCAAATAACCTATCTAAACTTGAGAAAATGTTTGGATTCCGAATGTGTGAATACGAAAAGAAGCTGCAAAAAGTCAACAATGAAGGCAATTTCACATACAGATTTATCATCACTACACGTGAGTTTGCTGAATTTAAATCTTTTGTTTGGCAATCCCTTTCAGCAATGAAAGCTCAAATCCAATTACTCTGCCATGAAACGGCTATGAGAAGGAAAGTGCTTTTATTTCATGGGCTGCCCGAAAAACAAAATGAGAACCTTATCGATGTAGTGTATGAACTAATATCCAGCCAATTGCGGTTGCCTGAGGTGAATAAAGATTGCTTAAAGGTCTGTCATCGATTGGGAGCCTCACAAAATAAAACCCGACCTGTGCTGTTTAGATTTTATGATACCGAATACAGACAGTTAGTATGGGATAGTAAATCCGGACTTAAAAGCTCCGGTATAACCGTCTCCGAGTTTTTGACCAAGAGTAGGCATCAAGTATTCACAGCGGTAAGGTAGAAAAATGCTGGTCGTCCGAAGGCAAAATAATAATAATTCTTCCGGATAAATCTCGAAGGAAAATTGAAAGCATGGCAGAATTAGAACTGCTCACTGCTAAATATCCGTTTACTACAAATGTGCAGAATGCGCCACAAACGGAAATAATGGCTTGTCCAAAAAAATCTTCGACAAATAGTGCTAATGTTCCTAAGAAAACGCGCCGACGTTAATATCTGTTTTTGTGTAGTTATATATTGCATTTGTTAGACGTTGTACGTCCCATATTTAGCCGTATTATGTACAATGTTTTGTGCCAGTAATCAATGTTTTTGTTTATACTTTAATCAACATATATAGTTTTCTTACTAGGTACACTATCAATCGTATGACACTATTTTCAAAAGATCAGATTAATAAACTTTAATAGGTATTATATACCGGGTGTTTGGTGGGTGGTCAGACAAACTGGGAGATATGGGTTCGTTAGAAGCATATTTTCTTAGTAATTTTTTTTTCTATCTCTTACCATTTTTTAAATGAATTTTTAACATTTTTTTGTTATTATCCCAATTTTCTAGTATTTTGGTTCAATAACTTCTACTATTTCTAGTTTTCTACCATTTTTTAATTTTTCCTAAGAAATATGATTTTTTTAAATTACTAGGCTGCACTAAAAGTATCGGGAATGGAATATTTCCACTGTTCCTGTCATATTAAAATCTTTTTAATTGAAAATTCCTTGGTTTTAAAAATCGAATACCATTTATTTACTTAAAAAAGATTCTCGGTCTTGTCACAAGGTTTTGTCAAACTTGCTTAGTCACTGAGAAAATGAAATTGACTCGAGAAAATTCAATAACGATGATTTATTATGACTTTCGAAGTGGTTTAACACAAAAACAGTGTGTTGACCGGATAATTTCTGTATTTGGTGATGAAGCCCCATCCAAAACCACAATTTGTCGCTGGTTTGCTGAATTACAACGTGGACGTGTCAAGCTCAGTGATACCCGTCAAGGTCGTCCAAAAACTGCAGTCACCCAAGAAAACGTTGATGCTGTGCGTAAGCTTATTGAGGAAGATCGACATGTGACATACCGCGAAAATCAAGCAACTTTAGACATTGGCATGAGTCAAATACAAATAATCTTGCATGAACAATTAGGTGTAAGATAGTTGTTTTCCCGGTGTATACCGTATTCGCTCTGTGAAGAGCAAAAAGCGGCTCGCGTTACTTAGTGCGTTAGAACTCTCGAAAGATTCCACGCAGGATCCTGTATACAACATCGTATCAGGTGACGAATCCTGGATATATGCGTATCCGAAACAAAAAACCAGTCACGAGTTTGGGTGATCGAAAATGAGTTAAAGCCAACAAAACTTGTTCGTTCACGGAGTGTTGCAAAAAAAATGGTGGCCACGTTTGTCTCCAAAACCGGCCACGTTACGACTATTCCTCTTGAGGGACAAAGAATGGTTAATGCAGAATGGTATGCTAGCATTTGTTTGCCACAGGTCGTTTCTGAAATCCGTAAAGAGAACTGCAACCGCCGCATCATCCTTCATCACGACAATGCGAGTTCTCACACCGCAAACTGAACAAAACAGTTTTTAGAGCAAGAAAACATAGAATTATTAGACCATCCACCGTACAGCCCCGACCTAAGCCCTAATTATTTTTATACTTTCTCTAAAATAAAGAATAAATTGCGTGGCCAGAGATTTTCATCACCTGAAGAAGCTGTGGAAGCCTACAAAACGGCCATTTTGGAGACCCCAACTTCCGAATGGAATGGTTGCTTCAATGGTTGGTTCCATCGTATGGAAAAATGTGTCAAATTTCGCGGAGAATACTTCGAAAAGCAATAAATACATTTTTAAATAGTACCTCATTTCTTAAGCCCAAAAAAAAAAATACTCACACATTGAATACTTAAGTTCACCCCAAAAAAAAAATTTCAAAGCATCAACTTTCTATCGATATATCAAAAAACTTAATTATCAACAAAATTGTTGATAATCAAATGTGAGAGGGGAAAAAAAATTAAGTTTGTAAAAATTGCTGGTACCTAAACGATATTCCATTCTTGCGTGTGCGAGCCAGGTAGATGTTGTCTCTTTCTGATGGTACAGGCGAAGTTACGACGCGTGGATCAGCTACCTTCTGTTGTTATAAATTTAGTCGTGATTTGACTGTCTCTGAAGCTACTTGCGAGTTCTTTTTTGACATTCATTGTTAAACAGTTTCGTTGAGTTTAGTTTTTGTTTCGTTGATTGTTACGTTTTTTTGAAGTTTTTGTTTGTTTGTTATTTGTTTCTGTTTTCGGACGGTAGTGTTCAAACTTAATTCAAAACACTGCAGTGATTATGGCTCAACGCACTTATTTTACTAACCAAGAATACGCTGATATGCTTTTGGTTTATGGCCGTGCCCTGAATAACGGTCACAGAGCACGTAGACTTTATGGAGAGCTGTATACTACGAGAAGGTTGCCTAGCCATGATACGTTTGCAAATACTTATAGAAGGCTACGTGAAACTGGCAAATTGCAACACAGGGAGCCAGTAGTACGTAGAAGACCACTTGATGTTGCTGTGGATGAACGTATCTTGGCGGTTTTTGACGATGATCCCACTATAAGCATTAGAAAAGTAGCGACTGAACTCAGATTTTCTGTATGGAAAGTGTGGTCAGTTTCCACAACGATTGCAAGCACCCATTTCATCTCACCCCAGTGCAAGGTACTTATTATTTCTTATTTTTATAAAAGTACTGTTTATCTTATACATCATTAATTATTTCGTATATTTTAAAGTGAGTGAAGTAACTTACACTAATTTTTTGTGCTAGGTATTGTGGAAGGAGATTTTGTGTGGCGTACAGAATTTTGCAGCTTTATACTGCACAAAGATGTCGACGATAATCAATTTTTGAAGAGCATTTTACGGACCGACGAGTCAAATTTTACACGAGAAGATATTTTCAATCAACATAATTTACATTATTGGTCAGATAAAGATGAAAATACACGTAAAACGAGACAAATATCGCATCAGACACGGTTTAGTGTTAACGTGTGGGCAGGTGTGATTGGAAGATATTTAATTGGTCCTCATTATCTACCTGATAATTTAAACGGAGATAATTATTTACCAATAATGAATGAGGACACAAGAATAATATTTCAAAACGATGGCTGCCCTGCCTACTATCGCAGGACCGTAAGGGAATATTTAGATGCGGTATTTCCGAACACGTGGATAGGGAGACTCGGACCTATCGAATGGCCTGCGAGATCCCCAGATCTGACTCCACTGGATTTTTATGTCTGGGGCCGAGCAAAGGAAATTGTATACGAAAATGAAATACAAACAAAAGAAGAGTTGGTTGGAAAATTAAATGCTGCTTTTCATATTATGAAAGAAGAAATGCGATTAAAAACTACTACGACTGAAATACGTCGAAGATATCGAGCGTGTTTGCATAAAGTAGGAGGACACTTTGAACAAAACTTGTAAATTTAGTAAAAAATTACTAGTACTATTTTTTATTATAATTGAGCAAGACCCTGTTTAGTGTAGTGTAGATACAACCATTATTTTTTTTTGTATTAAATACAATAATAGGCGCTCGTATGAGCTGGTAGCTGTAGCTGACCCGCGGGTCCTAAGCGGCAATTTTTTAATTCCCCTGCCCTCGCATTCAATTATTAATGATTTTGTTAGATAATCTAAAGTTTTATTTGACATGTGATATATCGATAGAAAGAGGGTAATCAGATAGAAAGAGGATGAAATAGAAAAATTTTGATGGCCATTTGAAATTACTCAACAATTTTATTTTTTAATTAAAGACCCAAAGAAAAAAAAAAAAAAAAAAAAAAAAAAAAAAAAAAATAAGGATAGAAATAAATCCGGACCATCCTCAAACAACCTGTATATTTACTTTGAATACATTCATAGCTTGAACGTTTGACATAAAGTATAATTAAATATTCTATGACTGACGTTCAATACAAATACATTTTAGAAAGTAATAATGTATGTTACTTTTATATCATACAGTATGTGTTTATAATGATTTGTACTTTTACATTTTCTTTTCTTTTTCTTTATTTTTTTATACACACCGATTGTTTAGTAATTAATGTTAGCTTTAAGTATAAATTTCTTCCATCGTGCCAGTGAGCAAGATGAGTCGCCCTTAATGTTACTTTTTTTAATTTTTTGATTCAATATTGTTTAAGTTTTTTTTTCTTTATTCACATTTTTTTATTTAATTTTTTATTAAGTATTTTATTAGTATTGTGCCTTTTTTAATAATATGTATACAGATAACGATACAGATAATAATGATAGCTTTTTCTCATGTTCGTCTTCATCTTCAACAACTTTTTAAACACTTCAACAGCTTTTTAAGCCTGAACTCAGAGCCTTCCGTAGATCTTAACTGCATGATGGCATTTCTACCCTCTTTTCTCAATATCCTGACAACCTTAACATAGCTCACATAAACGCTCAAACTATTCCTTGTCATTATACCTTCTCGCATCCATTGACACTGCTCATCTTGATGCTCTTCTAATTTCTGAGTCTTTTCTCAAGCCTTCCCTCCCTTCTATTTAATATTCACTACCCGGTTACGGTCTTATTCGTAACGATAGGGTAGGCTAAGGTGGTGGAGGCTTGCTATCTATTTAAGTTCAGAAATTTCTTACAGGGTTATCAGCGTATCTCCATCAACTTACTCGGAATCTGCGGAAGATTTGTTCCTTGAAATCACACTTTATCATACAAAAATTTTCCTTGGAGTCTTGTATAGTCCTAACTTTAATATCAATTACTTTGATACATTAGACATACTTCTTAATACTTTCTGTCCTGTATATAACCATGTAATCTTGATGGGGGATTTCAACAGATGTTTATTGAAAAACGATTTACGTACTTATAAATTGCAATCTCTTGTGTCTTCTTATAATCTAGAAATCTTGCCTCTATCTGCCAACCACCACTTACCCAATTGTACTCCATCTCTTCTAGATCTGATTATCGTATCGTCTTTAAATAGTGTTGCTAATCACGGACAAATATGACCTTCATTTTCATATCACGATCTTATTTACCTATCTTACCGTGTACGTCCCCCTAAGTGCAAGCCACATTTTCGATATCTTAGAAGAAAAAAGAAGGGCATTAAAATGGAGACGTTGAGGGGCTATGCTAGTTT